GCCGGGTGAGGGCGGAGGTCGGAGCGAGTCGTGACACTGGCTGAGGGTGGGTATCCTCTCTAAGTGGTGGTGAGTCGTTCTGATTGAGGCCCCGGCACCCAACCGACGCCGTGGCTCGAGAGGCTTAAACTGCAACACTGCAGGTACAGCAGCCGGCAGCGGCGCTGAAGTCGACCAGCCCGTTGGCCGCGCCGGGGCCAGTATCGATTCCTGGAGAGCCCGAGCCGAGCACAGCGCAACTTTTTTCATCAGAGCTCGAGTGGTCCTCCAGCTCCCATTCCACCTGACTCGGATTAGATCGCGGCCACCTGAGATTCCTGCGGTTTCGGCCGAGCGAGCAGCGACCAAAACAGTCGCATTATCCTTCTGCACCAGTGCCGTAAATTACTCCACCGTGTCGGTACAGCGGGACGGCGTCACGGCGCTGTTAGCGCAAACGGCGACAGCTCCGCACGACGCCCGGGGGCATGGCGGGCCGACGTCCTGTCTCGTTCCAGTCAGCCGTTCTGCGTCTCAATTAATTGCCCGTAGGTACTCCGGTAGTTAGTCCCAGCTTCCATCCCCTGCTTCTCATGGGGCCGCTGACGTCAGTCACCCCAGGGGCGCGTCAGCTGATCGCCGGTAGAGGTGGCGCCACCACCGTCCTCGCGTGCCTCGCCGGTCCGACATGGGCACGCTCCGCGCCGAGGTTTCATAGCCCATTTTCGAGCCGGGCTCTCATGGCCGGCGCACGACAAGAGCGCTTACAACATCGCGTCAGACCGCTGACGAAATACCGGCGAGGATGCGGGCGGCGGCTGCGCGAAACTAGAGCGGGAATCGTTCAGCTCATCGCTGTGAATTCAATCGGCCGACCGCCTGGCATGTTGACAACAAGCAACAGGTCTCGGCAGCGGGCGAGCGGCCCGCCGATTCAATGCAGCCCTGGGGCGAAAGGGCCACGCTGGCGGAGCGCCAGATAGCACCAGAGGGAGCTGCTCGTCAGGACCACCCACCGACATACTGCCGATCCCATCGGCACCAGGGTTCCTGAGCAGCGAAACCAGCCTCCCTACGTCGACCTGACCTCATCAGTCATAGTCGCTCATTATTCGCCTACCCCGGTGGCCGCTGAGGACCTCGAAACATGACTGAACTGAGTGAATTTACAAAATTAGAAATACCTCCTATTCTTCGGTTCTGTTTGGTCTACAAACCGGGCCTCGTCGTGGCCCAGGTCCGTGGAACCAGCGGCGGCGGCAGTGCGGAGTCCGAGTCATCAGATTGCGGTCCTCCCGCGGGCAGTGGGGCCATTGTCAGCGACACAGTCGACACGCGAGTGGCATTACGGCGCCGCCACTCGGCCGGCGGCGAGCGGGTGGCGGCGGCCGCACCCCGTCGCCGGCTGCCATATTAGGGCCGGGCCGGGCGGCGGGGGTGACGGCGACGGGCGTACCGCGCGCCGCCAGGACCAGCGCGGCGGCGGCCGTTCGGCGGGCTCGACGACCCGACGAATGGGGTGGCACGGTGCAGCGCTGTCGACGGGCTGCCATAGAAGCCGTCAGGGGCGGTCAGGACGTGGGCGTTGCCATAGAGACCATGAGTCTGACAGAGTTTGCCGGACGAGACCAGTTGCAGGGGAACTGGTTCGTCGGGCCCGGTCATTTTTGAGGTGGCAACTTCTGAACTGACGCAAGTTAGTCTAAGTTGAGACGATTTCGTTCAAGTCGGCGATGCGCTCCTTTCGAGGCACATTGCAGAAGTTATTTGCAAAATTCCCCGATTTTTCCCGAGCCAAAAAGACCACCGCCTGCGGGGCGTCGCCGTTTCCATGGAAACGTCAGCACACCAGGCGTGTCCATCACATTCCGGCCAATCAAAAATGGATGACAGATCGTCAGAACGGAGCGGGTCGGAGGTTACGACTTTCAGCACTTCACAAATTTCCTAGCGTCGCGGCGCACCGCCCACTTCTCCCACGGCGCTGCGCCGAGGGCCGACCCAGTTCCTGACCCCCAGTTCCCACACGGGCGCACTGCCGGCGGCCGCGGCCGGCCTGCACTCTCCCAACAGAGTCACGTTCTTCACCAAGCCAGCTCCCGGTCGCCGCCACCGCTGTCGGCAAGGCCGTCCACACTCACACCCGTCCCAGACTAGTGCTCGCACCGAGCCATCTCCTCCGGGGCGAGGTGCCGCTGCTCCAGATTCAGCCCACGCCCGCTGACGGCCTCCCAGAGGCCGCCGGCTGCTTCGTGACCCGCCGCCGGCGCCGGCCCCGCAGCCAGCCGCAACACGGGTGAAAATATCGGCGAAACTCACCGTGTCATCACGCTTTGAAAGGCGGTGGTTAGAAGGCATTTTCCAAGAGAGATATTACGAAGGCCGCGGGTCATACAGTGAATTCTAAACATCAGGCGAAACGATGTTCGCCAATCAATCCTGAAATAACTTCTTCAATATGTTGTCGGCTTTTGACATATTGCTTCATAACGATTTCATGCAGCTGTCGGAAAGAAGGATAATAGCCTACAAAACCCCGACTTGGATCGGCTCAAAGAAGCTCAATAACAATGTGTCAATGTTGTTGATTGCTCCATGTAGCTCTAAGCTCAGTCTCTAAGGTAGGACGGCCCCGGTGTCTACATGACGTCACAACGCTGCTGAAGAATTGAGGAGGTTGACGGTCACGTTTTTTTTTCCATATGTGACGGCGTAGGAGCCCACTAAGCAGGTCTGGCTGTCGGGTAAAACTACTGCAAACTGTCGGGACAACATGTCCGTAATTAAATACCGAAGCACGTCCGCTTGCGAGGCGTCCGTCGAAGTTTCACTGCTCAGTCTGTAATTAATCATGTTTGCGTCTTCAGCGCTCAGTTGAAGTTTTTAAACGTCGAGCGAATGCAGTCTCATCTGCCGCGCTGCAGTAAAACCCAGTTTACAGCCCGCCGGTGCAAAGCGGCAAGGCGGGCAACCTATTCCCGTGACCCATGAAACAGTGAACGACCCGAAATCCCGGCCGCTCAGCACACACGCTCGCCACCATATGTGCGCTCGTATGAGAAAATCTCTTCGGAAACTCGCCTAATAATACGACAAGTTTGCTCGGCTAATCCGGGATGGTTCTGCCGCGGTTTGGGGGGACGGTCCGCGTCCGCCGCTCCCTCCCTTCTCTCAGAGAGCATCCCGGGAGCATAATGAAGGCATCGGGGCGACAGAGGAGGGGCGCCGCAGCTGGCCGGCCGCCGGCGGCGCTCCCCGGGGCGGCATCACCTCGTCGGACACCGCAGCTGCGATCACCGGCACCGCACCGCGCCGCGGCGCGCACACGCAGCGCACCCACCGGGACCGATCGGATTACAGAGCCGAAGGGGTGCGTGCTCCGGTGAGCCGATTCAGCCGCCGGCGGAGCGTTGGTAATATCGGGCCTCTCCCTCCGGCGTCTCCTTTCTGCCCCCTTCCCCCGGCGGCTCCCCTCTGCGCCAACCATAGGCTCCCTGTCTGTCCCCGCCGGCTCCCTGCACCGGCTCCCCTTCCCCGCCTAGGGCGGTCTCGCCGAACAGCGGGAACGCTGTAAAACAAGCGGCGAGGAATCGCTCATTAGCCGCAGGTGGAATGCTAACGGTTCGACCGGGCCCGCCGAGAGACGAACCGTACTGGGACCGGCGAACGTGAGCGAAATCCTAACCGCGCCGCTCAGAATCTCGACAGAAAATTCACCTCACGAAGCACAAAACAAATCATAAATACTTTATCACTACGTTCGAAGAAAAGGAAGATGCTATCAGCTGATAACATCGACAAAATATGCGGCGGTAAATTTTTAATTGAAATGATTCCGGATACGTTTCACTCTGCCTGTTCGGCCGATGATCAGGCGCCGTAAAGCGGTCACGACCGGTTCGTTGGAGCCCAGCGTCGGACAGCACGCCGGCCGATGAGGCGCGGCGTGCTCTACGGTCCATGATGGGCGTGCTCTACAGCCGATACGAGCGTGCTCTACAGCCGATACGAGCAGGGCGCGGCGAAGGAGCGGCGAGTAGCGGGCCTCATCTCAGCCTCTCGGTTTGGCCCGTCAAACAACGCCTCGTCCCGCCCCATGGCGACGCTTGCAGATGGGACGTCAGTCACCGCGTTCCTAGGCACCCCAATCCCAGGCGCACCCCGCAGCCACTATCGGGTCAGCCAATCCCGGCGGTCGACCGCCCGGTGACCGGCCAGTAACCGGTCTGCACACAGAGGTCGTTACCGTCCGTCACGGGCTGCCATAACGGCCGTCACGGGGCTGTCATAACGGCCGCGCTGCGCCCAATCCGCGCCGCCACCGCCCACCCCCGACAGCAGTCAGCACCTGAGTGCAAGAATGATCGCTATGCCAGCACGGCCACTTTACTGCGCCGGCGGGCTGATGGCCGGCCTGCGACCAGAGGCGTTCGGAGACGGCCTTCTCAGAAGGCATCGGCCGACAGCCGTCCGCCGCGTGCCGGTACAGGGGAAATGCCGCACAGCCTCGCGGACAGAAATAGAGCGCTAACGGTGCCGCAGGGACGAGAGTTTCCGCCCCACCGATCAGACAACAGGCTGACAGGTGGAGACGAGAGGTGTTGACGACTCTCCTGAGTCGCGTGTGAGACACGTGGGTGGCAGCAAACGGCCCGAGACGCTGCAAGTGAGCCAAGCATCGTAGGCAGGAGCGCTGTGACCGAATATGAGAGGTCTGACATTTAGTCCACCTGACCACTGAGAGCATACACCAAGCAGCGGGGATTGTTTTGCAGATTGATTTCTGCGCATTGCATGCGCATTTCTTCTCGATGAAAAGTTAAACTGTCTTTATTGCCCTTTCAGTTGACAAAGGTTCACTGTTGCATTGGTCCACCAGCTCTTCAAACACGTTGAGACAAGCATGGCATGTCCTCTTCGCTCCCCTCGTTCATCCCTTCCACTAACTACCACCCCTCCCTCCCCACCCTCCCCTCGCTTCCCCCGCCTCCCCACCCCGCTCTCCGGCCCCGGGACGGTACCTTTTTGACGTGTCCGGTGTCGGTGCCGGCGAAGACGACGGTGAAGTCGCCGGTGGTGGTGGCGGCCACAGAGGTGAGAAGCGTGTCCGTGGTCAGCACGGCCACCGACTGCACCGGCATGTTGCCGCCGATCGGCGTGTTCACGTCCATGCCGCAAAAGTCCTCGCCCACAGTCTCCAGCAGCTCGAATTTCTGGAACGGACAGAACGAGAGGGTTAGACGGTGAACGTAATGGGCGGACGGGGAGGAAACCTGAAACGAGTTACGGCAACAGTAATAACAGTATGTGCAAGCAAGGCACAGTATTGGAGGTTTAGATAGTCAACAAGCTGAAATGAGAGTCGTTTCTTATTAGATTCTCTGATATTCCGGCTGATCTGACTTTATCTCATTGAGTTGGTTCAAAAACAACATCCAAACCGTGAGCAACAAGGTCTGATCTAATAATGCTAAACAAAACTAGAAACAGAGATCAAAGTCGATGTGAAGTCGCGATGTGACGATGCCACTGCCGACAGGGGTTGGCAGACGCGGTGCGCCGGTGGTCTCCCACAAACAGCGACATAAAGTCGCGGGGTGGCTGCCGGTCGGCGGCGGCAGGGGTGGTCTGCCGCGCGCGCCCGGTCAGCCGGCCGGCCCGGGCCGAAAACAGTCATCCATCGGCGTCACAGCCGGGGTCGTAATCTCATCAGGAGCCCGAGCGACTCGGGGAGGCCGCGGCCGGCCAGTTCGGCAGAAAACTTCCACCGCAGCTGCCCGTGAGCGGATCGGCACTCCTCTCCGATCGAGACTCTGAGCTACAGCTCACAGAACCGGTAACACAGAACCAGAAACAACAGATCCGCCAGCGGACAGACGAGCACGATCCACAAATCTGGCGTCTCGACCGGCCTCGGTCGGGACCCGTCCTCCTGAGCGGGCTTAGTGTCCAGCCGACGGCAATCGGCTCCATAAAACTGATGGGATCACAGGCAATAGCGTTCCGTATCGCTTGATCTTGTCTCGACGCCATCACGCAGAAAAGGTTAAAGCAGCTCGGGTTGGCTTAACCAACGGTGCTGGTATGGGGAAGTCAATAACCAGAAATGATAAACGACTGTGTCACATGCATGATCCGTATTGACTCATGCAAAAATGCGGCTAAATATGGCGAGTGTCCGTACGTATTTGCAGCCTCACTTAGCGTGAACATGTGACGTCAGAAGTCACAACTCATCCACGGTCAGTTCTGTGCTGAGAGTGACCGCAGACCACAGAACAAGGTCGGAGGTGGTCGCCGGTCAGGGAAGACCGGTGCCCGGGCCCGGCCCAGTCTCTCCGCGCACCCCGTAGCCAAACTCGGCTCAGACGGCCTTCCTAGCCACACAAACCCCTCCCGCCGGCCGCAGTCACCTCGGAACAATCCGCCTCGGACCGTTTTCCTCTGACGAGGCCGATTTTCGGCCAGTCTGCAGTGCACGGATTCGTGCAGCGCCAATCCGACTTGACCGAGGTTTCGAGTACAGTCCGATCCACCGCTTACGCCACCCGACACCGGGTCAGAAACCGGCGGGCCACCTCTGAACTCCGCAAAACCGGCAAGAACCACGCACAACGCAGTAGCAAGCGGCCAGCGCGACCAGCGACAGGAGCTTCGGCGCGTCGTGCAGCGACTCAACCACCTAGAGATGATAAATCAGCATTACCCTAATGAAGCGCGCGCTGCTCGTGTGTAATAGCTGAGCACAGCAGCGGCCTCGACGGCGCGCCGCTCGGCCCGCCTCCATCAGCGCCTAATGAAGACTGCAGGCGATCGTGACGCTCCTGAGACGTTCGCGGTACCCCGAGGCGCACGGTCGGCGTTTGCGACAATCATGGGCACCGTTCAGATGGACATCCGGCTTTGGTTGGCCGCAAACACATTCCCATTGGCCACAGCACAGCTTAGCCAGCAAAAATCATCACAGGCAGCTGAGCAAGACCAGCGGCGTGCACTCGAAGCCACCGCGGAGCGGTTACGGTGCAGTCGCAGCCGCGCTGACGTCACCACGGGCCTGACACGTCATCAGAGGACCGGAACGGCGGCACCAGCGGACGCATCGCGGAAGGTGATCAGCGTGAGGCCCAACGGTGAGCCTCCAGAGGCAACGGCGCATGGGTGTGTGTACCGATGCAGGCTCTTCGTCACAGCATCATACCGAGAATTCTAAGTAGTGATAATCATCACCTGTTACGCAGAAGGCAAGTCATCGAGTTAGGTAGTAGCGCATTGTCGCTGAAACAGAAATCAGTGGGGACTAGTCCCGTCATTGGTTACTGGGAATCCATCGTCAGTGAAGAGGAATATCACATCATCCATTGGAGAAATAGCTCGTCAGGAGCGTAACAAAGGTACGTAAGAAGCTTTGGAGGCAGAATAATCGGCGTGCTTTACGATGAGTAATTATGAAATAAAAAGCGCATACGTGTGTATATTTCTACTGAAATGTCTCGACAAAATTATGTAATTTCAGCGAGAAAATAACGGGCGCTTCATCACAGCATCGCTGTGGGAAAGACGCCAGGCGCGCCGCAAGCAGCTCACTACTAACAGCAGGCTAAAATACACCGCGCTATAAATGAGACGCCTGGATGAAGAAAGAAAACACACGCGGGCTTCACCCCGGCGCCAGGGTGATCAATCATGCCCCGATGGCAGAAATTTGACGGACGTTTTGTTCACCCCCGCGCTGCGCTGAGCTCCAGCACGGGGAACAAGACGTCATATCGGGGTTCACCGCGGATATACAGGGTGTTCGCAAAAATATGTCATGATTTCGTTACGCCATTATCGCCAGCTCAAATAAGCAAGGATCAAATGTCTTGCTGAAATGTGTTGCCCGGATCTTCAAGTTTTGTTATACATGTATCAGTGCCTCATGTCAAACCGGGCGCACCCACACGCTGTTTTCAATATGAACCCCTTTTCGGCGGATGCACGTGTCACCTAGAGATTACACATAAGGGTTCATTTGCACGCACGTGTTAGAAAAGATAACACGGACGGCCTTTGCAATCACTATCATCAGCCGAGACAGATTCTTGGCTGTCTTCCTGTAGTCCTTGGACTTCAGATATCCCACACGTAACGGCCGATGGGGTTGACACCAAGTGAGCGGGTCGACCAGGGGGTAAGGGTCCTCCTGCTCAAGAAACGGGCCCTAGCATTTCGTTTAGGCACCGGAGTGCAATTTTCGAAGTGTGGACTTGAACCCATCCTACCTGTGCACATGTCTGCAGCGTTTTGACCATTGTCTTGCCCCGAGTTGCCCCACATTTCTCGCTTAAACTTCTAGAGCACTCCCACGCAGCAGTTTTCAGCGGCAATGTTGGTGTTTCAATTTGAAGTCTTAAGAAGAAGGCCTCGCGGCACCATGAGCGTCTATCGCAAATTAAGCAATAACCTTCGGACTGTGGAGCTGGTGTTCTTACCTAGCCTTTGAGGGTGGCATATCTACCCAAACCGTTTGTTCTGGCCGTTGGCGCCTCCATGAAGGTGGATGTGTGCTTCACTGGTTGACCGGGCGTGGCCGGTGAGCGGTGCTCAGAATTGATTTGGGTTTTTTATCCTCGAAGCAAAGTAAATTCTTAGCCCTTTTCTACCCTAAATAGCACCTATTTATTCCTGACCTTGTAGAGTATAATCCCCATGTCATTATCAATAATATAATGAGACATGTTGGACCGCACCCCGCATCTTGCGCGAGCTCGCAGATGGTCAGGGAAGGCATCTCGTTGACCAAATGGGTGATCTCTTTGTAGTTTAAATGACTATGAATAATTCTTTTTCTCGGACTTTCAAGGATTCATTCGATTTTTAACGATCACTTTGGTAGTAAGTTGCATGTGCAGTAAAAAAATCGCCTTGCAAGGGGTGCAGCGGAGGCATCAAAGCATGCACCGAACTGTTGCAGCACGGAAACTGCGGGCATCGAATCCAAGTGCTTTTTGGCGATATTTGTTTTTCGCTCTGTGCAAGGCAAGATTTTTAATATTATAAATTAAAATGCATATGAAAGAAAACTTGAAAATGTCCTCTGTCAATTGGGCATAAATACGTGCACGTGCGTTCAAGCAATTTTTCCTACAAAGCGATTAGAATCATGACATATTTTCGCGAACACCCCGAACCCTTCCACCAGCGCGGCGCTTTGACGCGTCCTGACGGCGGTCACGGGTCCGCCGCAGATCGATGGTAGATCCGCCACCAGGGATCCCATTTTGCCGCCCCAGCGGCGCCAGCGTCGCACCAACACCGATTGACACGAGCCCAAGGTCGACGGCCAATTCACTTTTCGATCCGACGGCATTATTCAATTGCGACGTCACCGCAAAACAACTGCCAGCCGCGCCGGCCGAAACAATTGTTTGATTGTTCCACAACTGTCAGTTGATTTCTGGTCATCATTAAAATTGTCGGGCGCGTATCCAGCGATGTTGGCATGCCAGTTGGCTTGGTCATCCGCCCAAAATGGATCTGTGGGATAGGGAAAAACGTCTGAAGGTCAGCCAGGCACGCTAGAGCCGCCCGCATGCAACGCCGCAAATCCCGCCGAGTGCCGCTGTCTGCCGAATGGCGCCTCCGACGTCACGGGCTGGGTGCGATCCCAGTTAGCAGAGCAGTCACGGGGAAAGACCGTTATGAGTAATTCTCAGCTGATGGAGACCAAATCCCGATCTCAGGTCGCTACGTCAGAGCAGGTAGGTGGATCATTTTCTACGTGAGGAAGCTGCTCAGTGCTCACGAGGACGCTTGATCACGATTGAACACCAGTCAGAAAACCCTTTCCACTCGGCCGCCCACACGACGCCGAATTCGGCGATGCCCACCGCCTTCATCTACCGCTGACATCGCCGAACCGGCCGGCCTCTGGCCGTCGATGCTCGCACACCTCCCAGAAGAGCCATTTATCAGCGGCGCTGACCGTCCGCCGGGTCAGCGGCCCGTGGGCCAATAGGAGGTCACAGCGCCGATCGGGGATCACTTTCCAGGCGAGCCTCAGCGACAGGAGATATGATTGCCAGCTGAGTCAACAGCGCTGAAGACTCTTCGCCGCCAGCAGTGTCACCGCCAGCCCGGCACGTGATGAATATCCAGCAGATATATGAGAGGAAGGCAAATTGAACCCGCTCGCCGGCCCATATTCAATAACGCACCCATGGCGAGGACGGAA